GTACAGATAGTTCGGAATGGCTTGCTAGTCCGAACTATCTAGCCCGTGCCGCGTGTAGCCGCGCGGCACGGGGTTCGAACAAGCCGGCATTTAAAAATGGCGCCGGCCGGGTTATGCAAATAAAGCCCGGGAAATTCTAATCCCGGGCTTCATTTGCATGTTCGGTATGCATACATTACCCCGCTAGTTCGCACTAGCGGGGTAGTGTAGACATACCCTCAGAGAGTAGAAAACCCACAGAGGACAACAGAGCAGGGTGGGTATGAGACCTGAGCTCCCCTGGCAGGAATGGGGTGGGACACGGCGGGGCTCAGCTCCTCTGACCCGTGGGAACACGGGCACTGGGCTCAGCTCCCCCGGTGCGGGAACACGGGCGCTGGGCTCAGCTCCCCCGGCGCGGGAACACGGGCGCTGGGCTCAGCTCCCCCGGCGCGGGAACACGGGCGCTGGGCTCAGCTCCCCCGGCGCGGGAACACGGGCGCTGGGCTCAGCTCCCCCGGCGCGGGAACACGGGCGCTGGGCTCAGCTCCCCCGGCGCGGGAACACGGGCGCTGGGCTCAGCTCCCCCGGCGCGGGAACACGGGCGCTGGGCTCAGCTCCCCCGGCGCGGGAACACGGGCGCTGGGCTCAGCTCCCCCGGCGCGGGAACACGGGCGCTGGGCTCAGCTCCCCCGGCGCGGGAACACGGGCGCTGGGCTCAGCTCCCCCGGCGCGGGAACACGGGCGCTGGGCTCAGCTCCCCCGGCGCGGGAACACGGGCGCTGGGCTCAGCTCCCCCGGCGCGGGAACACGGGCGCTGGGCTCAGCTCCCCCGGCGCGGGAACACGGGCGCTGGGCTCAGCTCCCCCGGCGCGGGAACACGGGCGCTGGGCTCAGCTCCCCCGGCGCGGGAACACGGGCGCTGGGCTCAGCTCCCCCGGCGCGGGAACACGGGCGCTGGGCTCAGCTCCCCCGGCGCGGGAACACGGGCGCTGGGCTCAGCTCCCCCGGCGCGGGAACACGGGCGCTGGGCTCAGCTCCCCCGGCGCGGGAACACGGGCGCTGGGCTCAGCTCCCCTGGCGTGGGAACACGGGCGCCGGGCTCAGCTTCCCCCCAGCATGGGAACACGGGCACCAGGCTCAGCTCCCCCGGAGTGGAAACTCGAGCGCTGGGCTCAGCTTCCCCCTGGAGTGGGTAACGTGAGGATGATGCAGCTCCCTCATTTCCTCAGTGTCACCCACATATGTGAATGCTCACAGCAGGGCAGGGGATGTGGGGCCATCCCAACCCACTTTGGGGGACACCTCGGAGCATGGGGGAGCTCAGAAATTCTACACAAAGTTCTTGTATTTCTTACTCTCCCTGAAATGAAATGTGGGAAATTCCAGCTGCACCTCTGGGAGATGGTGGGAAGATTTCCTCCCTCCCACCCCACTGAGCAGGGAGTGTGGGGAATTCCTGCTACAGCCCTGAGGATGCTGGGGGGAGCTGCCCCCCTCTGACTAAGGTGGCTGGTTTCCTCTGCTGCAGGCCGCAGGATGAGCCGATGGAAGAAGAGGAGCCCATGAACCAGTGACGAGCGGTGCTGGTCTGAGTCGCCAATGGCTGAAGGAGTCTGGACGCTCCCTGACCAGTGACTCGCTCTCAACTCTTGGCTCCCTGTCTGCCACGCTGTCCTCTCCCCAAGTCTCACCCATGGAATGGACGGGCTGTCTGGCTGCAGCAGCTGCAGGTCACCCTCAGAGGAGCCCGCTGCTCTCTGAGAATTACCCTCCTGCTTGGCATCAGCCATGGACCAGGATCTCTGCTCCAGGGAGCTGCCCTGCCATGCCTGGCCATGTGTTTCCACCTGCTCTCCCCTCAGGGCCTGGCAGGGGCGTAAGGGGCCAGTGGGGTTGAAAAGGCTCCTGCCCTGCCTGCGTGGTAGAGAGCTGCCTTTCTGCAAGGGCTCGTCCGGGTGGCAGGGGGGACTGGGCGGGGCTTGGGGTGGACAGTGATGGTTGACGAGCTGTTCAGCACCAACCTGAGGATTGTGCCGCTTCTCCAGACAGTCGGGTTCCCACAGGGTCCCCCACATTGCACGCCCCGGGAGGGGACCAGGACATTCTCTGTGCCTCTGGGGTGGCCAGGAGTGAGGGGTGGCGAGTTGGGGCTCGAACCTGTTGTGAATGAGAAGAGGTTAGAAGATGGTTGATGACATGCAAATCCCAGGGAAGTGGGAAAAGCCTGAACTCCAGTGTCTCGTGTGTCCAGAACTGCAGGCATGGGACATGGCTGCCTTACCCACTAACCAGAGCGTGAGCCCACGGGGACGGGGCCTCTCGGATTTGCACTATTACAAACTACGTGTGTGCTCAGGTGCACCTGGCAGACCTTTCCTTCCATGGGACAGTGAGGAACAAAGTCCTCTGCAGACGAACGCTCAGGAAGTGACTTGAGCCCTGGAACAAGGAGCCAAGCCAGTGACCTGATGATCCATGTCTTTGTAACGTGTCCCTTTGTCCTGATCCGGGGCGGGGGCTTCTTCCAGAGTAGCCATTGAGGGCTCTCCGAGTGTCCCTGAGACAGTCCTCACTAGGGTACCTGCCTTAGACCCCACCCCTCTTTCCTGCCTGGTACCCCAGCTGCCAAGGAGAAATAAGGTGTCTTAGTCTAACATGGACTCAGCTTACCATGGGTCTGAATGCTGCTCAGTGCTCAGCTAGCCCAAGATGGGGCACGTTAGAAACACTTCCAAGCTCCCAAGATCCAGCCAGAACCTCTTTGGAGTGAGTGGAGACCCCAGCCCAATTCCTGCTCCTCCCCAAGTCCTGGGTGCTCTGCAGACCCTGCCTGAGCAGGGAATCATTGTGAGAGGTGCTGCACCAACACCCCTCCCCCCAATATTGAGGCCATGTAACCCTGCTGCTTCCCAGACCCCCACCAAGATCAGGGCTCTGTTGTGCTAGCTGCTGTGCAGACCCCAACCAGGATCAAAGCCCTGTCATGCCTGGTGATGCACTGAGCCAGCTGCAATTGGGACCCTGTCCGGACAGCACTACACAGACACACTTGGACTGACAGTTCCTTTCCTCAGCTCCAGGAGGACTAGAATAGGGGCTGCTCATGCCAAGAGTTTCCCTCATCCCTGGGCAGAGCACATGGGTTCGTACCCCCCCCCCCCCCCCCATAGCCTCAGCTCCTTCCGCTCACCCAGCTGAAGGAGATCCATGGTTCTGATCAGTGGCCTCCAGCGCTGGCAGCTTTTATGACTCTCACCAGCTCGCCCTGACTTCACTGTATCATCTCAAGGAAGCAGAAGAGCTAAAAACTATCCCCCTCACCTGCCCTGTTCAGGTTTTGCAGAGGAACAGAAGTGGGCCAGCCCGTAGCAGCTTTCTGGTCCAGGAGCCCACACGCCTGGGTTGATCTCATTCCGGCCAGCTCCTGTCGAAGTGGGGTTGTCACGCCCAGTCTCTCAGTGCACTGACTGGGCAGGGGAGTGGGCATGTGGGGCCACGGAGCAGTTAAAATGTTGGCAGGGGCACAAAGGGGCTACCATGAGTCACTGATGGCAGAGTCACCTCCCGAGAGCTACCACGAGTCACTGATGGCAGTGAGCTGCAGCCAAAGCCCTGAGGCTCTGAGCCCTCGCCACCAGGCTGTGAACACCAGGACAATCTCACCTGGCTTTAGAGAGGGGCCCAACCCAGAAGCTGATGTGACACAGCAATGCGCACACATGGGCCTGTTGGATGGTCACAACCACTTCCTGGAGTGCTGGGGTGGGCACTCCTCAATGGACTAAGTTTCTCCATGGGCCCACTGCTACCCAGCCCTCGTCAATGTCCAGCAGCAGATGGGCAGGGTGGAGGCATGAATTTCAGTGATACTGGTGGGGGCACAGCGGGGCCTGGGGTACCTGGCCAGGGTCTGGCGGTGCAGCGAAAGGGGTGAGTGTTTGTAAAAATATAACAGCCAGAAAGGTCTTTTTTCTGACCTGGGAAGAATAAACATTTCTTTGCCTTTGAACTGCACAGGCTGTGTGCGGGGAGATGGGTGTATTGCCAACCTGCAGCCCATGGCACAGCTCAGACTGTGCCACGTGCTGCACCATCTGTGTGCTTCCATGGATACGGCTTCTCTCCAAGAGCCCAGTGCTCCATGAACATGTTCTCCCCATAGCCCAATGCCCCTGTGGGTCTGCTCCCCCCACCAAGAGTCCAGTGCCCCGTGGGCATGTTCCCCCTACAGCCGAACACCCCGTGGGGCTGGTCTCCCTGCCAAGAGTCCAATGTCCCATGGACATGTTCCTCCAGAGCCCCATGCTCTTGTGGATCAGTTACCCCCTGCAAGCGTCCAGTAACTCCATGGACATGTCCCCTCCCCCAAAGCTTCAGTGGGTCTGTTGTCCCCCACCCTTGGGAGCTCAGTGCCCCATGGACATGTCTCCCCTACAATGCCCCTGAGGGTACCAAGGATGCAGTACTACATGGCCATGTTTCCCCCAGTCTCCCAACACGTTTATGAGTCACTTGTTCCCGTGGAACATCCCAGTGCCCAAGAACGATCTCCCCAGACCCCATCACCACTATGGGGTTGTCTGCCTTCAACAGCCTAGTACCCTGTGGACATGTTCCCCCCGCCCCTGTGGGTCTGATTTGTTCTCATGGGAACCCAGTACCCTGTGGACATGTTTCCCCTCCACACACAAGTCCCTGTGGATCTGTTGTCCCTTCACAAGAGCCCAGTGTAGCCCCCCCCCCCCCAAGCTCACGAATCCTGTGGGTCTGTTATTCTTTAACCAAGAGCCTTGATTACCCACAAAGCTCCTGTGAGTTTGTTGTCTCTTACCCCCAAGAGCCTAGTGCTCCATGGAACTGTTCCCCCCAGGGAAGATCCTTTAGCTCTTTTGTCCCAGCCCAATGGACAGGTGTCCCCCAAATCTCAAAGCCCCCAGCTCTATTCGTCCTGCCAAGAGCCCAGTGCCCCATGGATATGTTTCCCCCAACACCCTGTGGGTCTTTGTGCGCGCCAAGAGTCCAGTGCCACAGGGGTGAGTTTTCCCTCGAGACCCAATGCTCCTATGCATCTGTTATCTCCCCCGAAGAGCCCAGTACCCCGTCGACATATTCCCTCAGAGCCCATGGCCTCTCTGGGGCTGTCTGCAAAAGAATTCAGTTCTGCATGGACGTGTTCCTCCCACCCCCAAAGACAATTTAGCTCTGTGGTCCAGCCCAGTATCCATGGGGACATTTTCCCTCAACCCAATGCCCCTTAGGTCTTGTTCACACCAAGATCCCTGAACTCTATGGGCATTGTTTCCCTCCAGAGCCCAATGACCTATATGGGTGTGTTGCCACCATCCAAAGAACCAAGTGCTGCATGGCCATGTTCCCCTCTAAGCCCAGCACCCCTGTAGGTTGGTCGTAAATCCAAGAGCCTCTGTGGATATATTCCCCATAAATGTCCCAGCAGCCCAGTGCCCCACTGACTTGTTTCCCTTAGAGCCCACCACCCATGTGGGTCTGTCTCCCTCTCAAGAGTCCAGTGCCTCATGGGCATGTTCCCCACAATGCCCCATTACATCTGTTGTCCCCTCCTTGGGTCCAGAGCCTCATTGGCATCACTCCTGTGGGTCTGTTCCCTCCCCACAAGAGACCAGGGCTTCATGTACATGTTCCCTCCAACACAGCCATGTTGTCCCCACATCAAGTGCCTGGTTCCACTCTAGACATGCTCCCTCTGGAGCCCAACAACCCGTGGGTCTATTGTCCCTGCCAAGAGCTCAGTGCCCCTTGGGGGTGTTTTCCCTCCAGACACCAGTGCCCATGTGGGCCTTGCCCTCCCAAGACCCCAGAGGCATTCTTCCCCCAACCCGATGTTTCTGTGGGTCCAGTGTCCCCTCCCAAGAGCCCAGTGCCCCCATGGCCATTTTCCCTCCCAAAGTTTCAGTGGCTCTGTTTTCCTGCCAACAGTACCATAGATGTGCCCCCCCCCCCCGCATTGAATCCAGTGCTCCAGTGGGTCTGTTTTCCCCCTCAAGAGCCCAAAGTACCATGGACATGTGCCCCCCCTCCCAGAGCTCAATGCCCCTGTGGCTCCATTATCCCCTCCGAGAGAAGGAAGTGAACAGGAACAGTCAACACTGGTTCACAAGGGCAAGTCATGCCTGACCAACCTGATTGCCTTCTATGAAGAGGGAACTGGCTATGGGGAAGGCGATGGATGTGATATACTTTGACTTTAGCAAGGCTTTTGATACAGTCTCCCACACTATTCTTGCCAGCAAGTTAAGGAAGTGTGGCTTGGATAAATGGACCGTAAGGTGGACAAAAAGCTGGCTAGATATGGTTGAGCTCCATGGACAGTGATCAATGGCTGTTTGGTGGTCGGTATCAAGCAGAGTGCCCTAAGGGTCAGTTCTGGGGCTGGTTTTGTTCAACATCTTTATTAATGACCTAGATGAGTGGATGGATTGCACCCTCAGCAAGTTTGCGGATGACACTGAGGCTATGTCTACCCTACAGAGCTTTTTCAGAAAAACAACCGTTTTTCTGAAAAAACTTCACTTACGTCCACACTGCAACTGTATTCTTTTGAAAAAAATCAGAAGAACAAAGAGGTAAACCTCTTTCCACAAGGAAGAAACCTTTTCCCAAAAGCGCTCTTTTGGAAAAAAGCATGTATGGAGAGGGAAGAGGGAGTTCTTTCGAAAGGAGGAAAAAGCACAAGTGTCCTGGTGGTCATTCTGTCCATAACAATCACAGCTTAAATGCGAGATAGCGTCCATTCAGTGTGGATGCTATCTTTCAAAAAAGCAAATCGCTTTTTCAATGCACTCTGGCAGTGTGTACGCGCTCTTTCGGAAGAAGTTTTTTTCGGAAGATCTCTTCTGGAAAAGCTTCTTCCTAAAGAAGAAAAAGTCTAGATGTAGTCTAAGCTAGAGGGAGAGGTAGGTATGTTGGAGGGCAGGGATAGAGTCCAGAGTGACCTAGACAAATTGGAGGTTTGGGCCAAAAGAAATCTGATGAAGTTCAACAAGGACAAGAGCAGAGTCCTGCACTTGGGAAGGAAGAATCCCAAGAGCTGCTACATCTGGGGACCAACTGGCTAAGTAGCAGTGCATCAGAAAGAGTCTGTTTTTTCAAGAACTCCTCCTAAATGGTAAGAGCTAGGACAACCAGATTTGGTATTCAGCTTCCTTAAAAGCTAATGATGAGAGTCCTGCGCTTGCGATGGAAGAATCCCAAGCATTGTTATAAGCTGGGGACCGACTGGCTAAGTAGCTGTTCAGCAGAAAAGGACCTGGGGATTACAGTGGATGAGAAGTTAGATATGAATCAACAGTGTGCCCTTGTAGCCAAGAAGGCTAATGGCATATTGGGATGCATTAGGAGGAGCATTTCCAGCAGATCTACATAAGTGATTATTCCCCTTTATTCAGCATTGGTGAGGCCACATCTGGAATATTGTGTCCAGATCTTGGCCCCCCACTACAGAAAGTATGTGGATGAATTGGAGAGTACAGCAGAGGCAATCAAAATGATTAGGGGGCTGGAGCACATGTCCTACTAGGAGAAGCTGAGGGATTTGGGTTTATTTAGTCTACAGAAGAGCAGAGTGAGGAGGGATTTGATAGCAGCCTTCAACTTCCTGAAGGAAGGTTCCAGAGAGGATGGAGAGAGGCTGTTCACAGTGGTGGCAGATGGCAGAACAAGGAGCAATGGTCTCAAGTTGCAGTGGGGGAGGTCTAGCTTGCATATTAGGAAAAACTATTTCACTAGGAGGGTGGTGAAGCACTGGAATGGGTTCCCTAGGGAGGTGGTGGAATCTCCATCCCTCGACAAAGCCCTGGCTGGGATGACTGAGTTGGGGTTGGTCCTGCTTTGGGCAGGGGGTTGGACTCAATGACTCCTGGGGTCTCTTTTCCCTCTCTGATTCTATAACCCACAGAAAAATCTGTTGGGGGCCACACAAGTGAGAAATAAAAAAACAAGCAACCAACCAACCCCACCTCCCTAAAAAAAAGAATAACCACCTCACTGACCTGGCCCCCACCTGAGAAGCAGAGGAAAATATTCCCTTCACTCCTTTCAACCACCTATGGCTGGGGAGGTGCCAAGGTGCTTGTGAGGCTCCCTTAGGCTCTGGGAGAGGGGGCAAAAATGAAGGTTCTTCGTTGAGGTGTGTCCCTGTGGGTGCTCCACCTAAGGGCTGTGTCTATACTGCTCCCGTATAGCGGAAAAAAATATGCACTTGAGGTGAAGTGTGGAATATTGCCTCGCCTCATTTGTCTAATTAATGAGGCTCCATTTTTGCACAAGAGGCTTTTGCACAAAAACCCCCTCTTGTGCAAGAGCCATTCTTCCTGAAAAAATGTGGAAGAATGGCTCTTGTGCAAGAAGGGGGTTTTGCGCAAAAATGGAGTCTCGTTAATTATGCAAATGAGGCATGGCGATATTCCACGCTTTGACTCATTTGCATATTTTTTCTGCAAAATGGGGACAGTGTAGACATAGCTAGGTGTTTGGGCACTGCAGTGCGCCCAGCCAGAAGGGCTAGTGCCAAGTAGTTCGCGCATGCGTAGATTACGCCAGGCAGCTAATGCACATGCACGGGCTATGAACCCTTCAGTTCCTTCTCTGTCACCACCGACGTTGGTCCAACCCTTGGTGTGCTCTGCACTGAGCTCCTCAGACAGATAGCTAGCCTTTTTACCACAGATTTTTATCAGCTTTTGCCTTAAAATCGCCTTCCTTTCACTCTGGAAAGTGAAAAAGAATAAAACAATTTTTTTTCCGTTTGCAATCAACCGTGGAACCATAGATAAGCGAAGGTGCCCTGCCTCCCACTTTCCCCTTGTGGAACTGCCCCACGGAGGCGTTCCCCTCCGCTTTTATTGAATTATTGATTTTATTTGATTTATTCCATCTAGGGGTATGTCTACACTACAAAGTTAGTTCGAACTAATGGACGTTAGTTCGAACTAACTTTCATAGGCGCTACACTAGCGCTCCGTTAGTTCGAAT